ATGATCTTGTAAGATCATATGAAAATCGTACAAAAAATCGTGGTTCATGCAATCTTATACTAAGTCGTACTATAAGATCCATCAAAGATCTTGCTGTTCGGTAAGATTTTACTATAAGATTATAGGAAATCTTATGTGACAGTAAGATCTTGGATGGTTCTTATAGTACGACTTAGTATAAGATTGCATGAGCCACGATTTTTTGTACGATTTTTGCAAGATTTCGTATGATCAACAAGATCTTATGTCCGATTTTTTGACCTGGACACACTCACACCCTTATTGCTACTGATTTCACATCGTAGATAAATCGAATAAACGAGCTTACATTTTACTCTATCAAAGCTTGAATTAGGGATGTACGGGTTCCGGTTTTGACCGGTTCCAAAGAGTCGAACCCGGAATCGGTGCATCCCTAGCTCGAATGAAAGTATTTGTACATGTACTTTTCGTATTTTTCCAAGTGAAAGTACTTGATGCCTATACTTGCACTTCAAGGTAAATAGTTTCGTATTTACACTTCAGTAGAAAATCTTGAATTAGGTACTATTACTTAGACTAAAAAACAGTCTTTTTTCTTATTTCAAGTGTTTTTCTATTTCCTTGAAATCTTCAGTTATTTATAGTGCTAGAATGATAAGTCACTTTCAAATCTTTCCGATAATCTAAGGGTAAACTGATGCATCTCTGATGTGAAATTTTTAAGCTTACGTTAGTTTTATAATTTGCCTTTTATTCTAATCACTTTGTGATTTTGAGTTCTTTTGGTTCTTAAATTTATAATCTATCAGAAAACAAAATGCGCTGTTAATGTCGCAGCCAGTTTCAATATAATATAAAGCACAGAATTTTGAATCATGAAAATTTCACTATTGTTATCAACAAAAGATGTGTCAAATATTAAAACTTATTCGATTGAGTAGTTTAAAGATTTACTAAACATATATGTGAGTTATTAAATAAAAAATTAAAACGAATATCGGACCTTTACTGATTCTTAAAAACTTAAGACTCTTCTAGATATATTTTTTTATTTTTCCTATTTATTGCATCAGAAATGAAAGATAATCAATTTGGAAATAATTGGTGTTTAGAGAGATTGGCTGACTTTCAGATGACTCTAAGCTTTTACCAAAGCAGATTAGCATCCTCAACGTATTAAATTTTTACATTATTAGTCACATCCCAAACAGATCTGATAAAATACATATTTTAAGATTAATATCCTTAGAAAGAATGGATGACTTAAACCCTATTTTCAGAGAGGTTTATTCGAAAATGCAGCGCGGTAATAATCTGTCTGTCTGTAGAGTATCGATCTGAATTCACATAGATTCTTTTCAATGTAGTCGAGAATTTTATGTATCTATGATAGTGACCCGGATGAGTGTGATAATTTATAGATATCATCCATTATCTTGAAAAAGCTCGAAAAATGAAAATAGATGATTTTGACAAGTGACTCGTAGTACCTTCATCAACATATGACAGAAGAAAAAGGTGCAATACTGTACTCATTTTTCCGTTGAATTTTTGATTTAAGGATGTCATAGTGGTTTTTAAAACTGTATTAGAGGCAGCCAACATTACAAACGACATATATTATATTTATAACTACATCAAGCAAAAATACAAAGTAGTTACTTTTTTCGTAGTTAAATACAAGTACATTTGTTAAAGAACAAGTAAAATACTTGTACTTGCTGCATTTATACTGGTCCTAGGTCTGTATTCTATCGATTTCGTTGAATGTACAACAACAATGGTCTGAAGCGCAAAGAAATTATTCATTAAGGAAGCAAAATTTTTGATCAGTAAAATAGATTAAATGATCAGCACCTAAATCAGCAGTAAATAATAAAAGAATGATGAGTTTTTTATATATACCTAGCAGTAAAAAATATAGATTTATATCAGTAGAAAATACAAAGTTGATCAATAAATAAATAAATACAGATTTTATTAGAGGAAAAACATAATTTTACTAGTAAAAAACATAATTTGGCATTGAAAAAATAAATTCAAATAAAAAGCACAGAGTAAATAATAAACTCAAAGAATGAAGAAAATGAAAACTGAATTATTGTATTAGCAAAACAGCATTGGTGTTCTTGTTCTGTTTCACTTTCTTCTTCTACCGATCAGCACTGCTTTTGCTGCTACTACTGGTTTGCAATATTTTAATATGGAAATCGTACAAGTATCTCATTATGAATCACTCACATATTGAGCAGCTTTGCCATACACCATACTTCCATTGTTTTTGCTCGTTCACATTAAGCTAAAGGTGAATGCAAAGAAAGAAGAAAAGGATATAATGTATATGTTAGCGTCCATTGTTAGGTTGAATGAAGAGTATGCAGTAAAACGTGATTGACATAGTTTCTAGATTGACGTCATGTAGGATACTTACTGATAAAATCTGATCAAACAATGGCAGATCATTTGATGCAATCATCAATTGATCAATCATGTTTGAATCCGTGAAGTTATGAGCAGTTTTATACATAAGAACTGCTTCAATAGAAAACTGTTCATAACCTCTCAGATTTTCATTTAGCTCGACCATTGATGATTATATTATCTGAAATACTGTTGCTTGATCAGAGTTCTTCAATAAGAGTCTGAATATCTGATGTCGATCTATATACTAATTCAAGTTATAACTCATATTCTCCATCGGATCCGGCATTGGACGTAACTCAGTTTTGATTCTACCATATATACATGTGTTGTATTTGTCATCTACGCGTTATTGTAAAAAGAAAAAGAAGAAAACTCATAAATAAATCATTGTATAATACATTTCAATTTCTATACTTACTCTTTGATTTGATTGGCTGTTAATCAATTTTATTTATTGGTTTTCAAATTTATTAACAAACCTAATTAAAGAAAAACTAACTGTTCAATTAATATACTGATCATTCATTCAATTTACTGATAACTCAATTATTTTACTGGTAAATCATTCAATCTACTGGTTTCGTAGTTATTTAGCTTACTGATCATTTGACAATTTTTTTTTGTACAGTTTTACTGTCTGACTGTTTAATTGATGTTTTTCTCAGCATTGAGAGACACTCCACCCATGCACTAACAAAATGAATCACATCTGCATGATTTGAATGTGCATTATTATGTATATTTAGTGATTGAAACAAAGAGAGAAAAACGTGAATAATCTGCATTTGTTATTGACAAAGCGTCTATGTACGTTGACGCAGTGACGCACGAGATAAATAGTATCAAAATGCAGAAAAGAGGAAAAAAGACATGTGCATATATATATGTGTGTATCTGTGTGATTTAGCTGTATAAAAAAAGAAGTCGAGCAGTATTTGACGATCGATCTGAAGTATTTTAGCAAACGCCAATAACCTTAATATGACTGCATCATCTTCTTCTCAACGTCTCAAAGGTATTCTTGCAATAACTGTACTTAAAGCAAACAATTTAATGAAAAGTGATTGGTTTGGTGAAAACGATTGTTATGTCGTCATCTCATTTGAACCACTTTCAACAGAAGCAAAAGTAAAGGTCGAGAACAGAAAACAACAAACAGAAATGTATCAAAAGACACAGATTCATGATGGCTCGAATCCAGTTTTCAACGAGAAACTTTTATTTCCCGTAGCAGACGAATTACAAACAATGTACGTTCAAGTATGGGATTCTGATATTGGTAAAGATGATCTTTTAGCTCATGGAACATTGAATTTGCTTGATGATGAACATGGTGGTCGATTCAATACGACTACAGACAAAGAATGGCTACACACGGTAACTCTATCAATGCTCAATGAAAAGGGTAACTTTGGTGGCACATTAGAAGTTGTACTTCATTTCATTCCTGAAACAGTCATTGTGTATATGGAGAAGAAATTCGATGCTACTCAAGCAGAACTCAAGAAAAAATTAACACAAAAAATAGTAGCAAAAATGACTGATGTTGCCACCGACAAAATTCAAGGATATGTTGGAAGCGGTATTTAAAATTTACAAAATAATGCAGACTTTTGATAACACTTCGATATTTTTTTTAATGCATAGACATTTTCATTTTTTTAAGAAGACAAATTCATTGTGTGTTTTTTTGCAAATCATATCAAAGAAAATATATCCTACTTCTTCCAGAAAGACGAAATATGTCAAATATCTTACTAAGAATGCAGGCGTGGGTGTTGGTGAACAGACAATCGACATCCACATCCTTTATGCTATAAGAAGAGACGACTACATAATAAACAATGTACAAATGAGAAAAGTCGAACGTAAATAAACAACGTTGAGGACCAATATGAGACCTAATTGAAAAACCATTGATCAATAATCGAAGTTCATTCGATAACACATGAGTATTTGTCAGATGCACACACACGCTAACATTAGTAATCAGCCAAATTAAAAAGATAATACTGCTTGATATACAGTTGTATAGTGTAATTTTCTCGTCAGTTTTGAAGTCTAATGTAGACAGTCGCCATATGATATGGCATGTCTTCGATGAAGCATTAAGGAGAGTTTTGCTAATACGTACTCTTAAGCAAAGCTAGGTAATTGCTGAGTACAAATGCTTATCTTTTCTTGAATAGATTAAACTTGTTGCCTCTATGAAAAATAGATTTGCAAGTAACTTTGAATTGTGATTGATGTAGTCAACAATGTTGTATAAAGCATTTACGGAAGTGTTGCTAATAACCAGGGAGTCTTTATGGAGAAGACGATTTTCACATTGATATTGCACTCTCATACAGGTATGACAGGAAGCTTATGCGGTATGAAAGATGTAACAATAGAGATATCAGCAATAACTGGCATGAAAACAATGCTTATAGTGCTTCTTCGCTCGAAAATAAGAAAATCTTTGATCGAGACAAACATTCAAATGATTTAGGCCAGCATCAATACTGTTGGTACCTACTGTTAAATCATCAATAGTACCTTGTTTCGAACCTCAAGAATAATCTGCTCGCTTTCATCCACGTACAAAGAAACAATGAAGTATCAGTCATGCCGACTCAACCACAAAAATATCAATTCTTGTTTGTTGTATGCCACGTCGTCGTCAACATCTATATCTCTTCTAATGGCTTTGAAATTTATCTTTCTGACGACATTTTCGTTATTAACTATACACTATAAAAATGCTGGTCTGCTCGAATGAAATCTCCGATGGTACGACACCATTAGTGCATAAGCTTACACGGCCAGCATACTGTTGATAGATGCTGATCACCAGATCACGATTGATAAGTAGGTTAAAAATGAAGGGTTTCATTGAAGAGGAAAACTTTGATACTTGACATATAGTATTTTCATCAATGTGAAACCTTAATAACAAAAGGCAGTTTCCCAAACAATACTCTCATGATGAGCATCTTATCATGTGATACAATTTTTACATTTGGCATGATTAGTAGTTAAGTAAATTCATTTTCAAATCTTCTATAAAGTAGATCTCTGTAAAGACAAAGATGAATGTTTTGGAATCTTTGCCACTGATCGAAATCGTCAAAATCAATCATTAACAATAAAACATCATTCATTTCGGTTTTATGTTTGAGCATAACTGATGTTTAGCAAGTAGCAGTCAATGTCCTCTGTTCATCATCGTATTCTGCTACGAGGAAACCACAAATAGAACAATACCTATAGATACAATATCTAGCAATGCTTTGGTGAATATTATGCATTATTCCTAACAGAACGTCCCACGTTCAGAGATACTTGGAAGAATTACAGCGAATTTAGTATCCACTTGATTATAGTTCGCTAAAGTTACCCCTATTACTATCTACTATTATATAGTAAACCAGAGATGCGTCTTATTCTGTTGTGAAGGGTTATTATGAAAAAATTCAATATGAATAACGTTCAGTGGTTTAGAAGTGATAAAGAAAGCAGATCGACTAGTACCTGTTTGTATAATATCGAACAACTTGTGTCTTTTAACTTTGTACAGATAAAATAAGAAATGACAGCATAAGTTTATAGTGTTCCACTAGTGTTCAATTTCATCAGCCTCATTTTTGCCAAATAAAATCACAGACTTCTTACCGCAATTCGCAATTTCTAGATATTTGAAAAGAATCAAGTACTATGTGTTGCTATATTGGTGTTCTTGTGGATGTAGAAAACAAAATCTGTGTCATTGCTGGTCCTACAGTAACATCGAAGTCACTTTTCTGATTTTAGCGATTATTTTGAATGTGGTTGCCATTGTTAGTATTGCTTGTAGCATTTTGTTTTCTACCATGCTAAAGATGACTTATTTATGAACTTCACATACTTGACTTGCTCGAAATGCAAGTAGTTGAATGGTAATTGGATCATTAATCAAACTCTAGAACAATGATCTTGTATTAGTAGTCTCAATTAAACTTCAAACTGTCCAAATAGCATTGAAAGTAATATCTAACAGCATAACTCCATTGTTATTCCTAGTCAATAATCGAGTTATTCAATATAAAGACCTTATGTTGAATAATTTTCTAGACGCCTGCGTTGAATCTATAGATTTAGATTTTTAGGAGAACTGCAATTCGACGGCTATTTCTACTTCGATTTTGTTGTGATACAGTGGTAAGAGTATAACTTTCTCAGAGATAAGTGCTTGAGATCTCGAATAAAATTTATTCTTTATAGAAAAGCATTTCACTATGTCTTCAATGTAAACTAATCATAGTTTTCTTTTCACGTCTGTATTGTTATCAATATGTCTCTTCTACATTTGTTTTTAGATTGTTCAATCTTTCTATTGACCAAAATGAGATATGTTTGTTTTTTTTCACGTCAACAAGTATTACATGAATACTGAATCAATTAGATGATGAGCTTATTCCAATATGGGATGTTGTTTAACACATGATCGGTTCTTAAGTACGTCATTCACGCTGATATAAAAAAAAGATAATATGAACAAGAAGTTCATTCAGATAAATTTTCGATCAAAATATCATCGTTTTTCTATAAAAAAAAACTCACGCTCAACAATGGCATGAACTGTGAATGACTGTTACTAATCTTCTTTACGACTATTTTATTGATCTGGCATCAGTATAGTTCTCATTGCAATACAACGAAATCACATTCTATACAAATCTATAGAACAACAGGAATATTCGCCAATATAACTGGTACTAGTCTAATGCTATGATTGTATCTGTAGGATAGAAGTTATACGAAAAATGAATTTGTAAAAGTACAACGACGAGTCTATTCATCAGCATCTGTTCCTTGAATTTTCACTTGCCATGATCGAAACCCATTTAAAAGTGATTATGATCATGAATAAATAGAAGTAAGATTTCATACCATAATATTGATTAGTACAATGCAAAAGTATCTGAAATGACATGGACATTGAGTATGGTGCGACGAATGAATGTTTTTCACCAGGATTCTGTTCAACCATCAACTCAATCTTCTTTGCACAGTTTGTAGATTGTATTCTATCGACAAATCATATCGAAATCGAATTTGACTCAGGATTAATACTCCGTTCAATCATTATCTTGACTTCAATTCTGGAGTCCACTATTTAAAAGTGTATTGAAACTGGCAAAAAAATAAATGAGTTTTACCAATGTTTCGTTCAGCTAACGAATCTATTCTGATTTACCTATATAATTTAGTTATGTTTTTCGAAGATAACATGAATAATGAATTGTTGTTACCAGTACCATAGCAATAATCAATGGTTATGTTAGCGTTAGACTACGCGATGCGTAGTAACCTTAGATTTACCAATAGCATGATTCATGAACGATTTTGACCAGTATTAAGTTCAACTATTTCGGTAGGTCTAAGCTAAAATGAAATGTTTTAGTAGTCAGTCAACTTTTGTATGGTACATGACTATATCTAATAGCGATAGTTATATTCGACTATGTTTGTTTAGATAAAAGTGAAATGTTAGATTCCAAGATATCGCTCGACATCTACATGATATACAAATTCTAAGCACGAAAATGTTGCCATTCAAGTATATTGAAGAAGACAAGAATTCATGAAATGTTCGACCGCAGAGGAAACAATAGAACATAGCAAATGATCTGTTCTCATAAAAGAAACGTTCAAGAATCAATGTCGAATCGATTCGAGATAATATCACGCACGACATTCTATAATATGACACTAGTAGATGAAGTCTTTAGAACAGCATTATATTCAATTTTATTGTCATCATCATTTCATTTATTGATGATCTCAAATCTTCATCGAAACTTACATGACTGTTGAATAATTCACAGAATCATTTCATTCAACTTAACTGTTGAATTCGATGCTTAAGTTTTCACCAACAAAAATCGACCATGCTCAGAAAATAAATAAACGATTTCAAGTATGACTATGTTTTATGGCTATGCTACTCATATTCGACTTAGAAGGTGAGTAAGCATTACTGTTTGATCATATCATCGATGAATAATACTAACCAGAATGATATCAAAATATCTTGTTTATGTTGAATAGTATGCTTCATTCATAAGACAATAGTGAAACTGACATCGTAAGCGATTGATTTTCAGAAAATATATATTCAAATTTGACATTAACTTTGCTTTCTTTGTTTTGTTCTGTAACGATAAGAGATTGCGTGAGCAAAGAATTGTATCAAGTAGAATTCTGTTCACCAATGTTTTTTGTATCAGTTGAATGGTTGCCACGTTCCCAATAGGATAATTGAAGATATCAAAATGGAATCATTTTCATAATCGTCTTATTCATAAACCTTCATTGCACTTATTTCATCGATTTTTGCGTATTTGGAATAGTATTGAACATGACACACTTAATGAATGATTGTCAGCAATGACGTATTCAAAATGAATGTTTGAAATTGATTGATTGCTGATGAGTTTATAACATAATGAAAAAAGACATCTTTTATGAATCAGACTGAGGTTCTCGAGTACCAAGTTTATGTATCATAATGTCATTCACCTTCCATTGTCAGATCTTACTCATTGAGTCAAATCAAGAATAGGTAGAAAATGATAAATGTCTACCAGAATAGTATTCTATAAATTTGTCGCCATCATTATATGTCTATTGCTATTCAAATAGTGTGAATAATGATGTTGACAAAGAACTTTTCTTACCATAAAAATTTCATTCAACTATTTCCATTATTGAAAAGAAAGAATTTTACGTTTGAAATTCGATCGACCACAGGACGTTCAATGAATGAGTCTAAGTAAGAGTATATTCAATTATGGTTGTCCATACCATTCAGAAGTGTCACATGTGGCATGAAATCAATGATTAGCATGGGCATTGAAAGAGCTTAAGAAGCAGAGTTTTATTCGCTGATTTTATTCATATGAGAACAAGCGCAGAGTATACCGGTATAACGAATCAGGGAATAATGAAAAATGAACTCGCTTCATAAGATTGATATATAACAATGTTATTTTCACTACTTGAAGATGTTTTATTCAAAATGAGGTTGATGATACTTATAACATATGAATAACTGTAAGAATTCGTCGATTCAATCTTATGTTTTACTCTAACACTGATACTTTTTATTGTAACATCGATAGATTATGAAATGGTTCATGAAAAGCTCGGATAATGGGTGTATTCACATATATTATCAATGCATAGAAAAATGAATTACATTGTGAATTGACTGAGTGATGTCTTTATAATGAAATTGATTGAAGAACAATTATGTTCAACAATTTTTCATGTTTCCATTTAAAATTATTATTTTCATATGAAAATCACCAATAACGTAAGAAACGAACAAGTATTACGATAGTTCCATCCAAAATTCATGCTGATTTCGATCAAAGATTATACGGTCAGAGTTTGTCCTGAAATTATTATATAGTAAAAGAAGGAATACTACGAAACTTAAATTCATATATATTATTTAGTTAATTTAATGTCATCGAACTTGAAATAAAATTGAGAAAAGTAGCATAGATGAACCATACACACAATAATTCCATGCACTTATATCAAATGTTTCTATCAGATTAAATTCTGTTTTATCCTATTTGAAGAATACATAATTCAAGAATTCTTCTAATCCCGAGCAAACCGTTCGATTATATGACTATTTTCAATGCAGATGTATTGATTAATGAGTCAAAAACAGAAATCGCATATTCATGGAATATTTTGGCAACATATATATTCAGTTATAATATTGCATTCGATCTTTATATATGTGTATCGTAGGACAGAAGATCACGTCGTAAAAATATGACTTTTATTAGCGTATATTTCAAAAATGGCTTGTAACTATAACAAGTACCGATTCAAAAAGTAAACAATCAGAAAAATCGTGTAACACGAACAGTCTCTATTAGTTTTTGATTTTACTATGGCGTCAGCTTTCTGGATTCTAGACAGTTGTCCAAAGAGCTTTGAAATATATAGTATTCATGAATAATTCGTACATTTTGATTTTGATGTTGTTGTTGATTGAGCATTGTATTCAAACCCTTGAGATGTTTCTAAAGAAGCAATGAATCAGATTAGTAAACCTATTCTATGATAACTCTTCGTTTGTGTTCAATTGTTCAGATCAAGATTAATTTAAAAACAATCGTAATGTCTAAGCAATGCACACACATACCACTTTTGAATTCCAAGTTCTTTCGCTTCTTGATATCGGCAGATTTATACTTGAGATAGGCGAGATGATTCCAATCAATATGTTCACTCTGTTCTATATGTAATTCTATGAATGAGTTTTTTTGTAATTCTTCGAGTTCTTGCTGAAGTCGATCAATATGATTCTTCAGACGTACGAGGTCATCTTCCACAAAATCATCTTCTTCTTTTCGTTTTCGAAGTTCATCTACTACTACCTGAACTTTTACCTTGGATTCTTCACGCTGTTGATTGAGCATTTGTGTAACTTCTTGACGAATATTATCTGCCGTTTGATTAACTTTCTGAATTGTTAGATTTTGCCATTGATCGATTTGAGTAAGAAGTGAACTTTGTAGACTACTGTAATGATTATTTTCATTGAATTGCTTCAGTAAACGATTTTGAGTATCAATAATATGTTCGAGATTCACTTGTAATTCTTTTCGATGTGCAATAAAATGCTTCGTACAAAAGTAGTCTTTGCATCCTGCACACGTGCATGTTCCCACACTTGTAGAACATTTTGAACAACGATTCGAAGTTGTCATTTCTGTAAATAATTACAATTCAAATGATATATACATATGCCATAAAGAATTTTTACAAGGATATCTTTAAGTTCACGTCATACTATGTTCAATTCAAAATGAACATCACTAATGACACGTTCCGATTTCTCATGTACGAAAAGGAATTGAATTTCATTTTTAAAAACTTTTTCTTACCTTCGTCAAGAAGAAAAAAAATGGAGTACAAATATTTTATTGTCCGCGTTTGTCAAACAAATATAAAAAGTAAAAAGCACAATTCTTTTCATTCAAAAAGCTCGCTTAAATCGAAGTGTTTACATGTATGTGAACGATGAAATACAGAAACAAAACATTTACTGTTCTGTAGACGCAGTAAACGTTTGCACATGTTACTCCTAAGCAGAATTTCATAATCATTTTGAAATTAAAAAAAAACCTCCACATGAGCGATGCGAATATTTGATCTCGAGTCGACAATATCATAGATTATGTAACATAGAGTTGATTTTAATATTCGACTATGTTCTCTTCATTTATTCACTGCTGATAGCCTAGAATTAGGCATTACTTTCTCAAAATAAAAATAATAAATAACAAAATGTTAGAGAATATAGCGAAGTTTACTTCATTAGATCAACAGGTAACTTAAGTTCATTATTTCTTAGAAATTATAATTCCATTTAATTCTTGAAATTAGATTCTGTCAAATATTTAAGAAATATTCCTGACGTTTCACTAATAATCGCGTATATTATGAGATGATTTAAGTCCTCATTGATTCAATAAAATGACTAATGACAATACTTCACCTCATGTATGAAAATCATCAGGTGGCATAATCTTTAATGGCAGAAAATAAGACAAGAGATTCTAAAAAAGATTCATATGGATCTGAAATAATAACGTTGTGATAAGGCATCAAGGGGGAAAAAGCGAGACTTCAGTTTTTTGAAGTACGAGTGAAGTACGCACTCTTGAAGTCTCGCTTTTCTCCCTTGTAAGGCATTCATGGACGAAATGAAAAAGATCTACAATTAATGTCAGGAAAAATAAAAGGAAATAATACATACATGAAATTTCAATTATTTAATTTTCCATGAAGAAGGTAGTCCATAATGATTATGTTTGCTTTTGTTTTTTATCCCAAAAAAGTCTTGTTTGTTCTAATTTCTTTATGCTATCTAGTTGTTCATTATTTATTTCCATCAATGAGTTGCTCAATATTTGAAGGTATGGGTTTGAATGTTAATGTTTCTGTGTGTCTGAATGTCCTATGGCTTGATTCTGTCTTTCACTCAAATTTTATTCGATCAAACCTCAATAAAAATATGATATTCGTGATCAGCACGACAAGTTCTGCTAGATCAATTATAAAACTTTCAAAGTATAGATGTAGAATTGTTTTCAATCCTTACGAAATACCTCAAGCACAAAAGATTTTAAAATGTTGATCCAACAGGAAAATCTCAGAAGGGTATCTCATAATTATGTCGAACTTGTTTTCAAATAATAGTTTGTAAGTAGCATTTTATTTGTACATGTAACATAATGTGTAAAACCATGTTTATATATCCATCCATCAGATGTTTGATGCCGATCAGACTATTTACGTATACGATAAAAGCCAATACCATTACATTTCAATTGATAATCATATGCAACTGAATCGTTATCTTTATTTACAGTTGTACGACAGATTGCTTTATTAAAATCATTTTTATAAAAATTTGCCATTGATAAGTTCTTATCATCATACATATAATTCCCTAGACTCGGTAAAATCCAGTTTAATGATGGAATTTGTCGTTTGATTTTCGAAACAAATAGAAATAAATCGAATGCTCGTGAAGTCGAAGCAGTATTTCGTGGTAAATTACAACTATTAGATGAATCATTACTCCAAAATAAGTCAAATAAATCATCTAATTCACATTGATTCGTCGTCAATAGTAATACTGCACTTTTTTGTAAAAATAATGTATATTTTTGTACATAATATGTGTCTGTGAGATATTGTAATAAATAACCTAGATGACGAGCAAATATTTCATTTGAATAAGTTGATGGTTCTATGGTTGAATCAGCTGTATTTTGTGCAATATCAATCAACGTTGAATTCCATGTAGCATTATATAATAGTGCTAAACCTGAGAGAATAACACCTTGATTAAATATCCATATGATTTGTTTATTATTTACACATTTATTATCATTTAAGAAGTTCGTTGAACTATATCAGAAGAATATAATAGGTAATCAAAAATGCTTATCAAATGTTTTAAAAGAATAATAACTTGGTTTATAAACGAAAATTTATCTTACAAAAAAAGTCGAGTTTTTTTGCAAAACTGCGAAAGTTAGTTTTTTAAGAAAGACAAATCGTGTAGTATTTACAAAAACAGCTATACAGATAACAGATAATTAGAGCAGAAAACGTTGTGAAAAAATCTTGGGACGAGTACCAAATGCTGAATTCAACAGCAGTTTCCTAGTTTCAGTTCAAATTCTCAGTCTGATTTTAGTGCTGTTTATCCTCCCCAATCTCATTTTTAATAATATTCACAGTGAAATAAATAACTTAAAATTAAATTAAACGATTATTTCAATAGATTCAATCAAATAGAAAGCTGTACAACTCGATGTAACTCTCGAGTGAGTAGAGTAGGTAACTTCATTGTTACGATAAGAAATACAAATCACTCATCAACCGTTAAATGAAAATGTGGGTATGGGTGCGAACCCACACCCACACCAACATATATAGTTTTTGTTTATTCTGTTCCAATTTCGAGCTCTTCGAATTCCGAGCACGCGGCAATTGTATCCTATCGGGCATTCATTTTGGAATTTTCGAACACATTTCAATCTGTCGAGGAAAATAAACATATCGGAAAGATTCTTTCGAATGTTCTCGTTCAGTAAACCTATCACAATAACAGTTTCAATTACAAGATCTCATCTTAATAAAATGGTAATTGTTCAAAATTCAATTTTAAATATTGTTTATTTTTTATTCAATGGTCTTAAATGATTTTTTTGTTTTTGTTTAACATGTACTTCTAATTTCATAAAATGAATTTTCAACTTTTTAATTCTTGAAAAATTTCTAAACATTAATTTCATGCTCAACCATAAAAACCAGTTAATTAATCACTTGCCATATTTATCAAATAAACTCTGTTCAAAGCATCTTAGATTAGAAAAAAAAGTTATTCTATTAATTAGAGATATGATAATGTTGAGGAGAAGACAATCTCCCCCTTTCCATATTTCAGAGTCCTTTTTAGTTGAACAACGGTTGTGTATACTTTTGATTTTTGTATATAAATGTTCTTGTACCACAATTAATTTATGTTCATTCGATATTCCATTCCATACTATAATGCTAATGAGTGGGTGTGATCAAGTTAAAGAAAAAAGCTTATGACACGCAGAGTAACAATGATGTCTAGTGAAGTTTATAGACTACAGTTAATTAAAAAAGAAAAGAAAAGTACTCGTTTAGCGTATTCTATAAATTGCAGGTAGTTAAATGTAACACTGAATGTATAAGTTTCCTTAAAATTGTTATGATTAAATTTTGAAGAAATTAAAAGAAAGTATTGAACTTGGATTAAAAAGTTATGGTATCTCTGTTTTATATTCTCAAAATGAGAAGATACAGCTCTTTAGCTTTGCACTCTCCATCCAATATGACGAACCAGAGCTCTATACAGAATGAAATGGGACGGAAAAAAATCGTCCTATGGGATTAGTTATCATGAACTGTTTTATTTCAGATGGAACAATGTTCAAAAAATTTTTCTCATGTTGAATATGAGTGTCGTTAAAAATCAGAAAGCATTTCTAAACACATCTATTCTTTCCATTAATAATACCAAATTTTACATCATTTCTCTTTTGCATTTCATAATTTTATCATAACCAAACTCAAATTTCGGCGAGAAAGACATCTATTTCGAAACAGTTGAGTTATTCTTAATAAAAGAAGATTGTTATAAAAGTTGTTTGTCGGTTAGGATCTCATGTGACGTAATATTTCTAGTGTAATAATGCGTCGATATAACCTGAGAAAATATTCTCTCCGCGCTATCGTCATCACTTCATGACCAACAAGCATTGCTCGGATGAATTTTGATTCAAGTACTTATGTGCTGCGGCATGTTCATTCAAACATACAATCTGTTTGCTTCTTATTAATCTTTTGAATATTCCTTGAAGACTGTATGTAATCAGCCAACTACTACTCGAAGAATCAGTGAATTTG